CGGCCGGAGACAACATGGCCGCTGTTCCAGTATGCTTTAAAATGCCCACCTTTCCAACACGGCCCCCATTCCAAGATGGCCACTGATCCACCAGGGCTGCTGGCCCAGCACAGCTGCGGATTCTGAGTCAGCTGCCAGGGCCAAGATGGGCCCGGGCCAAAATGGACACCAGGCCAAGATGGCCCACCAAGCCAAGATGGCCGCCAATCCAATATGGCCACCAAGCCAAGATGGCCGCCCACGCAACAAGGCTGCCATTACAATATGGCCCCTGATCCAAGATGGCCCGATCCAGATGGCTGCCACCCGAGGCCCAGGCATTGCCCTATGACGTCATCACAGCCTGGCCGATCGCTGCGTCGCCGGGGAACAAGGGCGTGGCCGGGGAAGGTGGTGATGTCACCCACCCCGATGACGTCACAGCCGGCGGGAGCAGCACCTGAGAGGGCGTGGTCAGTGTGGGCGTGGCCAGGGCGGGCAGGGCCCCCTCCCCCCCAAATGTTTTCATGAATTAATTAATTAATTAATTAATGGATTGTTCCGTAATTTGCCCCCGAATTCCGGGTGGGAGCCAATAGAGGGGCGTGGGGCCGCCAGGGGGAGGGGGAGGGGCATCAGGGACATTTTGGGGACATTTGGGGACACTTTTGGAGATCTCAGGGGGTGGGAACATTTTGGGAGGATCTGAGGGGTTTTGGGGATTTGGGGACAATTTGGGGAGTTTGGGGACATTTTGGGGGCTCAGGGGACACTTTGGGGGATCTGAGGGGGTTTGGGGGGGATTTGGGGACATTTTTGGGAGGGATCTGGGGGTTTTGGGGGATTTGGGGACACTTTGGGGGATCTGGGGGTTTGGGGAATTTGGGGACACTTTGGAGGGATCTGGGGGGTTTTGGGGGGATTTGGGGACACTTTGGTGGAATCAGGGGATTTGGGGACACTTTGGGAGGGTTTTGGAGGCAAAGACAGGGAGAGGGGGAGGGCAGGCCCAAATTTGGGGGCAGTTTGGGGCGTTTCCCCTTCACGAAAGGAACCATTCGGAGCCGCCGCCCCTCCCCACCCTTCAGCCTCAAGTGGGGGTCCCCAAATCCAGGGGCCGCCCTCCCCACTCGGAGGGTCCCAAAAATCCCCCCTCCCCATTTTTTTTTCCATTTGGCCCCAAATTTGGAGCCCTCCCCACCCCCAGGTAGCCCCCTCAAAATCAGGGCCTTCCCGACTCCCAGACCCCTCCGTATTTTTGGGAAGTCCCCGGTGTGGGGAGGGCTCTCCCCCCTCAAGCCCCGCCCTTCCCCTCAAAGCCCCGCCTTTTCCTCCTCAAGCCCCGCCCTTTTCCCCTTGCCCAATCCCCTCCATCGCCGGCCGCGGCCATATCCTTTGCCCCGCCCTCAGTGGGCGTGGTTTAAAGGCGTTGAGACCAATCGCAGCGCGCCTTGGGGCGGTCCCAGCCAATCGGCGCACGGCGTGGGCGTGGCCAAAGCCCCTTCTTAAAGCGGCAGCGTCGGGGAACCGCCCCGAACCGGCCCAGGCGATGTCGGCGAGTCACGACAGTCGGTGCGACTTTGGGGGAGGGGGTTTGGGGGGATTTCTGGGGGATTTGGGGGTTTAATGAGGGTCCCGAGGGGAGGGCGGTGAAAAGCGCCGAGTGGGGGAGGGGCGCGATTTTTGTGGGGGAAAAAGGGGGGCTGGGGGGGTTCGGAGGGTGGGGGAGGGGCGCTGGGAAGGTCCTGCGTGGGGAGGGGCGCCGAGAACTCCGGGGAGTGGGTAGGGGTTTGATTTTGGGGGCGATTCCCGGGGGTTTCATGGCCGATAAATCCCTCCCCCTTTTTCTTCATTTCCTCCCCATTTTCCCCTTACTATTTTCGTTTTAATATTTTTTCTCCTTTCCCCGATATTTAATAATAATTTTTTCGTCTTTTTGCCCTCCTCCCCCTTTAACTCCTCCCCCGCCCCCATTTTCTCTCGATTCCCCAGTTTTCCTCCTTTTTCCCCTTTCTGTGCCTTTTTCCCCTCAGATTTTTCCTTTTCCCTCCCATTTTTCAGCACTTCCGGAGTTGTTTTCCCGTCCCCGAACCCCTCCTTCAATCCCCTTTATTGTTTTTCCACCCCTCACTTCCTTTTTCCCTCTTTCCTTTTTCCCTTCTTTTCCTCCTTTTTTTCCCGATTTTTTTTTCCCCTTTTCTCCCGATTTTCCCCATTTTGGCGGTTTTTGAGCGGTTTTTGGCCCCTCCCCGACCCCGCCCTTAAATCCCCTCCCCCTCCCCCTCTGCTGACAATCCTCCGTTTTCTCCCCCTTTTTCTCCTTTTTTCCCCTTTTTTCCCCGATTTTTTGGGGTCTCCCCCTGAAACCACGTGGCCGCCCGCGCGTCTCTTTGTGAGTGACGTCACCGGCGGCGCCCGCTCCTGATTGGTCGGCTGGACGGAAATGAGGGCGGAGCTTCCGCCGCGGCCGCTTCCGATTGGACGATTGAGGGGGAAGCGGGGGCGGAGCTTCCTGTGGGCGCTTCCGGGGGGGCCCCACGTGGGGGGTGGGGGGAGGGGAAATGGGGAGGGTCAAAGGTCACGACGTGTCGCGATATCTGTCGCGATATCGCCCCGACAGAGCCCGAGAGAGGGAAAATGGACCCGAGGGGATGGAACCGGACGGCGTCATCGAGGTGAACTGGGCGGACTGGGGGGACTGGGAGGGGGTTGAGCCAAACTGGGATGGACCGGGAGGGGGCTGAGCCAAACTGGGATGGACTGGGAGGGGGCTGAGCCAAACTGGGATGGACTGGGCGGGGTTCAGGCCCTGCTGGGCGTACTGGGATGGGCCCCAGTCCTGACTGGGAGCGGCTCTGCCGAACTGGGGCTGCACTGGGAGGTGCCCGGAGCTCTGCTGGTCCTGACTGGTCCTTACTGGTGCCCCCCAGAGCAACTGGCACGAGGTGGTGGACTCGTTCGACGAGATGAACCTTTCGGAGCCGCTGCTCAGGGGCATCTACGCCTACGGCTTCGAGAAACCCTCGGCCATCCAGCAGAGAGCCATCCTGCCCTGCATCAAAGGTGGGGCCTTGGGACCCCCAAAAACCCCCCAAAAATACCCAAACCTGCCCTAAATGAACCCAAAAACCCTCCAGCAGAGAGCCATCCTGCCCTGCATCAAAGGTGGGACCCAAAAACCCCCCAAAAATACCCAAACCTGCCCTAAATGAACCCAAAAACCCCCCAGCAGAGAGCCATCCTGCCCTGCATCAAAGGTAGGGCCCTGGGACCCCCAAAAACCCCCAAAAAATACCCAAACCTGCCCTAAATGAACCCAAAAACCCCCCAGCAGAGAGCCATCCTGCCCTGCATCAAAGGTGGGGCCTTGGGACCCCCAAAAACCTACAGAAACCCCCCAAAAATACCCCAAATCCTGAAAAAACCCAGCCCAAATCAACCCATCCTGCCCTGCATCAAAGGTGGGGCCTCCAAAAACCCCCCAAAAACCCTCAGAAACCCCCCAAAAATACCCAAAATCCTGAAAAAAATCAACCCATCCTGCCCTGCATCAAAGGTGGGGCCCCGGGACCCCCAAAAACCCTCAGAAACCCCCCAAAAATACCCAAACCTGCCCTAAATGAACCCAAAAACCCCCCAGCAGAGAGCTATCCTGCCCTGCATTAAAGGTGGGACCCCCAAAAACCCCCCAAAAATACCCCAAATCCTGAGAAAAACGAACCCATCCTGCCCTGCATCAAAGGTGGGACCCCAAAAACCCCCCAAAAACCCCCCCAAAAATACCCCAAATCCTGAAAAAAATGAACCCATCCTGCCCTGCATCAAAGGTGGGACCCCCAAAACCCCCCAAAAATACCCCAAATCCTGATAAAAACCAGCCCAAATCAACCCATCCTGCCCTGCATCAAAGGTGGGACCCCCAAAACCCCCCAAAAATACCCCAAATCCTGAAAAAAACCAGCCCAAATCAACCCATCCTGCCCTGCATCAAAGGTGGGGACCTCAGAGCCCTGGGACCCCCAAAAACCCACAGAACACCCCCAAAAATACCCCAAATCCTGAAAAATATCAACCCATCCTGCCCTGCATCAAAGGTGGGACCCCAAAAACCCTCAGAAACCCCCCAAAAATACCCAAATCCTGAAAAAAATCAACCCATCCTGCCCTGCATCAAAGGTGGGACCCCCAAAAACCTTCAAAACCCCCCCAAAAATACCCAAACCTGCCCTAAACGAACCCCAAAAAACCCCCCAGCCCCCTGTGACGTCACTGCCCCCGTTATGACGTCACCCTGCGGCGTCCCCGTTTGATGACGTCACTGTGCCCCGCCCCCAGGCTATGACGTCATCGCGCAGGCGCAGTCGGGCACCGGCAAAACGGCCACGTTCGCCATCTCCATCCTGCAGCAGGTGGAGCTCGACCTCAAGGCCACCCAGGCGCTCGTGCTGGCCCCCACCCGCGAGCTGGCCCAGCAGGTAACCAGTCCGGACCAGTATGGACCAGTACGGACCAGTATAGACCAGTACAGACCAGTATGGACCAGTATAGACCTCTATGGTTCAATAGACAGGCCTAAAAACCAGTATGGATAGGTAAAAACCAGTCCAGGGGACCTCACCCAGACCCTCGTGCTGGCCCCCACCCGCGAGCTGGCCCAGCAGGTAACCAGTATGGACCAGTACAAACCAGTATGGACCAGTATAAACCAGTACAGACCAGTATGGGCCAGTATAGACCAGTCCAGACCAGTTCAGACCAGTCCAGGGTACCTCATCCAGACCCTCGTGCTGGCCCCCACCCGCGAGCTGGCCCAGCAGGTAAACCAGTATGGACCAGTATAAACCAGTACAGACCAGTATGGACCAGTACAGACCAGTACAGACCTCTATGGTTCAATAGAGAGGCCTAAAAACCAGTCCAGACCAGTCTAGGGGACCTCACCCAGGCGCTCGTGCTGGCCCCCACCCGCGAGCTGGCCCAGCAGGTAACCAGTATGGACCAGTATGGACCAGTACAGACCAGTATGGGCCAGTACGGACCAGTATAGAGCTCTATGGTTCAATAGAGAGGTCTGAAAACCAGTATGGACAACTAAAAACCAGTCCAGACCAGTCCAGGGGACCTCACCCAGGCGCTCGTGCTGGGCCCCACCCGCGAGCTGGCATAGCAGGTAACCAGTATGGACCAGTATGGACCAGTATGGACCAGTATAGAGCTCTATGGTTCAGTAGAGAGACCTAAAAACCAGTATGGATAGGTAAAAACTAGTACAGACCAGTTTAGGTGACCTCACCCACACCCTCGTGCTGGGCCCCACCCGTGAGCTGGCCCAGCAGGCAAACCAGTCAAGACCAGTATGGACCAGTCCAGACCAGTATAGAGCTCTATGGTTCAATAGAGAGGCCTAAAAACCAGTATGGACAGCTAAAGACTAGTCCAGGGAACCTCACCCAGGCCCTCGTGCTGGGCCCCACCCCTGAGGTGACCTAGCATCTAAACCAGTTCAGACCAGTATGGACCAGTTCAGACCAGTATAGACCAGTCTAGATCAGTATAGACCAGTCCAGGGGACCTCACCCAGGCGCTCGTGCTGGGCCCCACCCGCGAGCTGGCCCAGCAGGTAACCAGTATGGACCAGTATGGATCTGTACAGGCCAGTATAAACCAGTCCAAACCAGTATAAGCCACTATAACCCAGTGCAAACCAGTTCAAACCAGTGTAGAGCAGTCTGTCCCACCCCCGCTGTCTGGGCAGGGCGGGGCCTCCCCGTGGCCGCCGATCCCAAATCCGGCGGGGGGAGAGCAAAGAGCTCCCAGTTCATCCCAGTCCGGACCAGTGACCGGCGCTGGTTCATGCAGGGGGCACAGGGCAGGTCCTGGGGGGAATTGGGGGGTCCTGGGGGGATTGGGGGTCCTGGGGGATTGGGGGTCCTGGAGGGGTTTTGGGGGTCCTGGGGGAGGGTTGGGGGTCCTGGAGGGTTTTGGGGTCCTGGAGGGGTTTGGGGGGGTTAGGAATTTTGGGGCCCAAATTGGGGTTTTTTGGGGGGGGTTTCCATCATGGTTTCCCTCCAGAATGACGTCACTGATGATGTCACTGATGATGTCACCGATGACATCACAGATCCAGACGGTCCTGATGGCTCTGGGGGGGTCTCTCTGGGGGGGGGGTCTCTTCTCTCTGGGTGTTCCTGGGGGTCTTCAGGTGGTTCCAGGAGGGGATTTTAGGGTTCAAAGTGGGGTTTTGGGGGGCTTTTCCGGGGCGTTTTGGGGGTTTTCCGGGTCATTCTCCCCGCTGATGACGTCACCGATGACGTCATTGATGACGTCACAGATCCAGAAGGTGGTGATGGCGCTCGGGGACTACATGGGGGCCTCGTGCCACGCCTGCATCGGCGGCACCAACGTCCGCGCCGAGGTCCAGAAGCTGCAGCTCGAGGCCCCCCACGTGGTGGTCGGGACCCCCGGCAGGGTGTTCGACGCTCAACTGGCGCTACCTCTGTGAGTGACCCCAAATCCGCCAAATTCACCCCAAAATCCGCCTCGGGAACCCCCAGAACCCCTGAAACACCCAAAAAGGGGTTAAAACCCCCCAAAAATCAGGGCTGGGACCCCCGGCAGGGTGTTCGACATGCTCAACCGGCGCTACCTCTGTGAGTGACCCAAAATCAGCTGAAACTGCCCCAAAATCCGCCTCAGGAACCCCCAAAACCCCCAGGAACGGCCCCAGAAACACCCAAGAACAGGTTAAAACCCCCCAGAAACACCCAAAACCGGGTTAAAACCTCCCAAAAATCAGGGCTGGGACCCCCGGCAGGGTGTTCGACATGCTCAACTGGCGCTACCTCTGTGAGTCACCCCAAAATCAGCTGAAACTGCCCCAAAATCGGCCAAATTCACCCCAAAATCAACCAATTTCACCTCAAAATCCGCCTCGGGGGCTCCCAAAACCCCCAGGAACGGCCCCAAAACCACTCAAAAATGACTAAAAAGGGGTTAAAACCCCCTCAAAAGTTCAGGGCTGGGACCCCTCAGGAGGGTCTTGGACGTGTTGAGTGACCCAAAATGGGCCGATTTCACCCCAAAATCCATCTCAGGAGCCACAAAATCCCCCAGTTGACAGACCTGAAAACCCCCCAAAACAACCCAAAATCCTTCCATAAACAGGGCTGGAATGACCAAAACTGGATCAAAATAGCCCCAAAATCGCCCCCCACCCAAAAATTGGCTCAGGGACCTCGAAAGGGACCCTAAAAAAAGGCCAAACCAGCCCAAATTTGGCCAGAAATTCCCCCAAAATGGTGCAAAAAAACCGGCCCAAAATGGTCAAAAACCAAAAAAGCAGCTGAAAGGAGCGCCGAAAAAAGGCTCCAAAATGGCCTAAAATGGCTCCAAAATGACCCAAAATGGCTCCAAAATGGCCCAAAATGTGCACCCAAAAAAAAGCTCAAAAATGACCCAAAATGTGCACCCAAAAAAAAGGCTCCAAAATGACCCAAAATGGCTCCAAAATGACCCAAAATCTCCACTCAAAAAAAGGCCCCAAAATGACCCAAAATGGCTCCAAAATGACCCAAAATTCCCCCCAAAAAGGCTCCAAAAAGGGGTACAATGCCCCCTGTTCAAAGGGACCCAGTTTTGGGTGGGGGGTCTCTGATTTTGGGTGGGGGGTCTCTGATTTTGGGTGGGGGCTCTCTGATTTTGGGGGGGTCTCTGATTTTGGGAGGGGTCTCTGCTTTTGGGGGCTGTTATTTTTGGGGGAGGGTCCAGGGTTTTGGGGAGGGGTCCAGGATTTTGGGGGAGGGGTCCAGGGTTTTGGGGGAGGGTCCCCACCCCGTGATGAGTCGCGTGTCACCTGACCCGGTTTGTTTTTTGGGGGGGTCCCGGCCCGCGTTCTGCGAGTCGGACCCCAAAATCCCAGGGGCTGATCAATGGCAGGACTGAGGGTGGGACCCCCAAAACCCCCAGGGATCCCCAAAAACCATCCCCCAAATACACCTGGGACCCCAAACCCCCAGGGGCTGATCAATGGCAGGACTGAGGTGGGACCCCCAAAACCCCCAAAACACACCTGGGACCCCAAAGCCCCCAGGGCTGATCAATGGCAGGACTGAGGATGGGACCCCCAAAACCCCCAAACACCCCCCCAAAATACACCTGGGACCCCCAAAATCCTCCCAAACACACCTGGGACCCCAAAACCCCCAGGGATCCCCAAACCCCCAAAACACCTGGGACCCCAAAACCCCCTGGCACCCCAACCTCCCCTACCCCCAAATACACCTGGGACCCCCAAAACCCACCTAGGACCCCCAACATCCCCCCCAAAATACACCTGGGACCCCAAAACCACCTGGGATCCCCAAACCCCCAAAATACACCTGGGACCCCAAAGCCCCTCCATGCACCCCCAAAACCGCTTCCATTCCACCTGAAACCCCTCTTGGGACTCTCAGGGACCCCAAAACTTTGTGGGATCCCCCTGACCTCCCCCCAAAATCCCAACTCCCCTCCCAGCCCCCAAGTTCATCAAGATGTTCGTGCTGGACGAGGCCGACGAGATGCTGAGCAGGGGCTTCAAGGACCAAATCTACGACATCTTCCAGAAGCTGAGCGGCAACACGCAGGTGGGGGGGCCCCAAATCACCCCAAATTGCCCCAAAAATCCTCTCTGGAAAAAAAAAACCCAAAAACCCACAAAAATTGACCCCAAAATTGCTCCGTTTGGACCCAATGGCGCGGTCTCAGCGGCGCCCCCTGGCGGCCGGGATGGGTAAGGGGTTATTTTGGGGTGGGGAGGATTTTGGGGGGGATTTTGGGGGTCCCAGGAGGATCCCAAAGGAATTTGAAGGGGTCCTGGGGGGGGTGGATGGGATTTTGGGGCTTTTTTGGGATGTTTGGAAAGAGGGGAAATTGGGGGAGGGATTGTGGGTAATTTTGGGGGGGGGGGGGATTTTGGGGTCCTCAAAGGGGTTTTGGGGGTCCCAGGATGGTCCCAAAGGAAATTTGGGGGATCCCCAGAGAGGGTTTTGGGGGTTTTGGGGAGGGAGTTGAAGGTTTTTTGGGGGGTAGGTTTGGTTTGGGGAGTCCCTGGTGAGTTTTTAGGGCGTCTGGGCACAGATTTTGGGGGTTTTTTTTGGCTCTTGATCCCATTTTTTAGGGTCCTCACCCCACCTTTTGGGGGTCCTGACCCTGTTTTTAGGTTCAACCCCCCCAGGTTGGTTCTGCTCTCGTCCAGGGTGCCCCTGGGTGGGTTTTGGGGGGTCCTTGCTGGGTTTTGGGGGTCTCTGAGGAGCGTTTGGGGTTTCTAGGGGTGGTTTTGGGGTTTTTTGGGGTCCTGACCCCATTTTTTGGGGTGCTGACCCCGTATTTTTGGGTCCTGACCCCATTTTTTGGGTGCTGACCCCATTTTTTGTGGGTCCTGACCCCATTTTTTGTGGGTCCTGACCCCATTTTTTGGGGTGCTGACCCCATTTTTTGGGTCCTGACCCCGTTTTTTGGGGTGCTGACCCCGTTTTTTGGGGTGCTGAGCCCGTTTTTGTGGGTGCTGACCCCGTTTTTTGGGGTGCTGAGCCCGTTTTTCGGGTCCCCAGGTGGTTCTGCTGTCGGCCACGATGCCCCTGGACGTGCTGGAGGTGACCAAGAAGTTCATGAGGGACCCGATCCGGATCCTGGTGAAGAAGGAGGAGCTGACGCTGGAGGGGATCCGCCAGTTCTACATCAACGTTGAGAGAGAGGTTTGGGGGGGGATTTTGGGGGATTTTGGGGTCACCAGGGCTTGGATTTGGGGATTGGGAGTCAGAACTGGGGGTTTTGGGGTGTTTTCAGTCAGATTTAGGGGTTTTTTTTGTCATTTTGTGCCAGATTTGGGGCATTTTCTGTTTCTTTGGGGGTGTTTTGGCTCAGATTTGGGGTGTTTTGTGCCAGATTTGGGGTATTTTGTGCCAGATTTGGGGTATTTCCTGTCACTTTTAGGTATCTTGGGCTCAGATTTGGGTTATTTTGTGTCAGATTTAGGGTATTCTGTGCCAGATTTGGGGCATTTTGTGCCAGATTTGGGGTATTTGCTGTCACTTTTTAGGTGTTTTGGCTCAGATTTAGTCATGTTGTGTCTTTTCGGGTGGGGGGTCCCCCCAAAGCCCCCCAAAGCCCCCCAAAGCCCCCCCATCCCCCCGGCATGGCCTCAGGATTTGTGGGACGCCCCCGCCGTGGCCCCCCCGCAGTGACCCCATGCCAGAGAGACCCCCCCGGACCATGGGCCGCCCCTCCCCCCATGGGCCGGACCCCTGAGCGGGGGGAACACGACCCCCAGAGCGGGGGGGGTTGGGAGGGGTTTTTGGGGGCTTGGGCAGAGTTTGGGGTTGTTTTGGGTCAGGAAAAGTCACTTTTGGGTCACTTGGGGAGCAGTTTTGGGTTGTTCCCTCTCGTGGGTTGGTTTTGGGCTCAGTTTGGGCTCTTTCTGGGTCAGTTTTGGGTCATTTTATTGGTTGGTTTTGTGTTGGTTTTGTGTGAGTTATTGATCCCATCTGGGGCGGTTATTGATCTGTTATTGATCTGTTATTGGTCTGTTATTGATCCGTTATTGATCCGTTATTGGTCTGTTATTGATCCGTTATTGATCTGTTATTGATCCGTTATTGGTCCATTATTGATCCGTTATTGATCCGTTATTGATCCATTATTGATCCGTTATTGTTCCGTTATTGATCCGTTATTGATCCGTTATTGATCCGTTATTGATCCGTTATTGATCCGTTATTGGTCAGTTGGTCAGGGGGTCACTCAGGGGTCACTCAGGGGTCATTTTTGGCTCCCCCCCCCAGGAGTGGCAGCTGGACACGCTGTGTGACCTGGGCTCAGTTATTGATCCCTAATTGGTGCCCTTTGGGGCAGTTATTGATCCTCATTGGTCAGTTATTGATCCCTCATTGGTGCCCTCTGGGGCAGTTATTGATCCCTCATTGGTGCTCTTTGGGGTTCAGTGATTGATCCCTCATTGGTGCCCTCTGGGGCAGTTATTGATCCATCATTGGTGCCCTTTGGGGCAGTTATTGATCCCTCATTGGTGCCCTTTGGGGCAGTGATTGATCTGTCATTGTTGCTCTCTGGGGCTCAGTGATTGATCCTTCATTGGTGCCCTTTGGGGCAGTGATTGATCCGTCATTGGTGCTCTCTGGGGCAGTTATTGATCCCTCATTGGTGCCCTTTGGGGCAGTGATTGATCCATCATTGGTGCCCTCTGGGGCAGTTATTGATCCGTCATCGGTCAGTTATTGACCTGTTGTCGGTCAGTTGGTCGGGGGTCACTCCGGGGTCACTCCGGGGTCACTCCGGGGTCACTCCGGGGTCACTCAGGGGTCACTCCCCCCCCCCAGGAGTGGAAGCTGGACACGCTGTGTGACCTGTACGAGACGCTGACCATCACCCAGGCCGTCATCTTCATCAACACGCGGCGCAAGGTGGACTGGCTGACCGAGAAGATGCACGCCCGGGACTTCACCGTGTCCGCCATGGTGGGGAGGGAAAAGGGGTGGGGAGGGGAAAAGGGGCTGGGGAGGGGCTCCATAAGATCAGAGGGCTGGGGAGGAGCGGGCCCCAGATTTCAGGGGGTGCTGGTGGAAAAAGGGTAAGGGATTCAGAGGGGTGAGAAGGCCTGGGAAAATTCAGGGGAGGGGAAACCTGGTTTTGGGGAAGATCTCAAAATTGGGGGTAAAACCTCGAATTTTGGGAATAATCCAATTTTGGAAAAAAACCCCTAAAATTTTAGTGGGGAGGTGGGGGGGTCTGTGTGTAGCGGGGGGGAGGGGCTGCCCCCTGACCTGTCCTCCCCCCACCCCCAGCACGGGGACATGGACCAGAAGGAGCGTGACGTCATCATGAGGGAATTCCGGTCGGGATCCAGCCGGGTCCTCATCACCACCGACCTCCTGGTGAGGGGGGAGGGGCCCCTCCCCCACCCCCCACCTAACAAGACCCCCTCTCCTTATCCAGAGAGCCCCCCTCCATCCACAAAAAAACAATTTACGCCCCAAAACCCTCAAAATTTGGGGATTCCCCCTCGAAAATCTGTTTCTCTCCCCCTTAAAGCCCCTCCCCCACTTTTTTATAAACTCCTCCCCACCTCTTAAGCCCCTCCCCACCCTTTCAACCCCTCTCTTTTCCCCCTTTTAACCCCAAATTTCAACTCCTGGGAACCCCCAAACTCCTAAAGGGTCTTCCTCTCCTGACCCCCTGAGCCCCTCCCACCCCCTTCACCCTCCCCTCCCCCAGGCCCGGGGCATCGGCGTCCAACAAGTTTCGCTCGTCATCAACTACGACCTCCCGACCAGCGCGAGAATTACATCCACAGGTGGGGGAGGGGCTCAATTTGAGCTGAAGAGGGAAGAGGGTCGCTGCAGTGGGAGGGGAGAGCTCAGAAAGGTGGGGGGAGGGGGCTTGAACCGAGACTTAAAATTCTTATTCCAAAATGTCCGAATTTCCATCCTAAAATCCCAACAATTTCTATTCCAAAACCCCCAAATATTTTCTTTTTTAAAATCAATTTTTCCTTAACTCCCCCCCATTTTTGTTCTAAAACCCCCCAATTTTTCCCCACCAAACCCAAGTCACTTTTAAAGGGGGAGGGTCCTAAAATCGCGGGGGAGGAGCCCCAAAATGAGGGGGTGGAGCCAAAGCCAGGGGGCAAAAAAAGTCAAATACTGGGTTTTTTTGGGGTAAAACCAAAGCGGGGGGAGGGTCGTGCCCCTCCCCTCGCTGTGACAGCCCCTCCCCACCCCAGGATCGGCAGGGGGCCGTTTCGGCCGCAAGGGCGTGGCCATCAACATGGTGACCGAGGAGGACAAACGGACCCTGCGGGACATCGAGACCTTCTACAACACGGCCATCGAGGAGATGCCGCTCAACGTGGCCGACCTCATCTAAAGGGGGGAGGGGCGCCCCTCCCCCACCCCCAAATGCCCCTCCCCACCCCCAAATGCCCCTCCCCTCACCTGCCTTTTTCCCTTCCTCTTTTCTCCCTTTTTTCCCCCATTTTGGGAGTCGTTTTTGGAAGATTTTTAATTTTAAAGGGCTTTTTTTGTTGTTGTTTTTACTTAAACTCCCTCCCCACTTGCCCCTCCATCGGTTTTGCCCCTCCCCCACTCTTCCTTTTTCCCCCATTTATTTTCTCTATAAATTTTCTCTCCATTTTTTGGGGGTTGAACTTATTTTTAATATTTCTGAGGGGTTTTTAGCGAGCCCCTCCCCCCACCAGAACAACAACCAGCGCCCCTCCCCCACCCCTTTTCTCTGCTTTTTTAGGTCAATTTTTAAAATATTTTAAAATATTTTCTCCCTGCCCTTACCCTCACCCATTTAGCCCCTTCCCCAGGTCGCCCCTCCCCTCTCCAGTTTTTAGTGTCATATTTGGGGCTTTTTCTTCCTTTTTTTTTTCAAAACCGTCACTTTTTAAGGTAAATTTCTGCCCCTTCCCCACCTTTCACCCCTCTCCCACCCCCTTTTCACGTGGCACCTCCTGCCCTTCCCCACCCCCCTTTTTTTTTTTTTATCCCTTTATTCGCTTTTTTAAAGGTAGTTTTTAAGGAAAAAAAGAGAAAAAAAAAAGTTTTTCTTTTTAGTTTTTTTTTTTTTTTTTAAAGATAAACGTCACTTTTGGGGGGGTTTTCCACTGCCCCTCCCCCACCCTTCCCCTCCCCCCTTTTGTAACGTTTATTTATTGGAATAAAAGCGATTTTGGGACAATTCTTGTCCGGGACTCTTTAAAACTCCCCCAATTCGGGTCCTGGACGCCCCAAACTTTACTCTGGGACCCTCCCCAAATTCCACACCCCCTCACGCCCCTCCAGCGCCACCCTGCCGCCCACGTCCGCCTCCCTGACCCTCCTGCCCTCCCCCTCCTCCTCCTCCCGGACCCTCCTGCCCTCCCCTCCTCCTCCTCCTCCTCCCCCTCTGCGTTTGGGGGGTGTCGAGAGTGGGCTGGGCGAGCCAGGGGGGTGCTGAGGCGGGCAGGGGTCCCCTGCGCTGGCAGAGGTTGTGCAGGAGGACGCAGGCGAGCAGCAGGGTGGGCAGGAAGCCCAGCTCGGTGTCGTTTCGCTCCCCAGGCACCTCCAGCGCCGCCGCAGCCGCCGCAGAGCCCCAGAGCCCCAGCGCCGCCAGCGCCGCACCCGGTTGAACAGCCCCTCCCCACCCCCAGTGCGCCCCTCGGCCCCGCCCCTCCCCGCCCGGAAGGGCTGCAGCAGCCAGGGCAGCAGGGGTCCCCGAGCCCCCAGGAAATAGGGGATGGCGCCCAGGACCCCTCCCCACCTTTACAGACCCCTCCCCACTTTTAGAGACCCCTCCCCGCCCCAGCAGAATCCTCCCCCCCTGGCGCCCCTCCCCATTTTCAGACCCCCTCCCACCGTGGGAACCACGACCCCTCCCCTCGAGACCCCTCCCCACCCTAAGGGACCCCTCTTCTGTCCTCACAGGCCCCTCCCCACCCGTGGGAACCGCGACCCCTCCCCTCGAGCCCCCTCCCCACCCTAAGGGACCCCTCTTCTGTCCTCACAGAGCCCTCCCCACCCGTGGGAACCACGACCCCTCCCCTCGAGACCCCTCCCCTGCCCGGCCCCTCCCCCGCGCGGCGCAGCCGCTGGAACAGGGCGGAGTCTCGGAATTTGGTGCCGGGGGGTTGGATCTCCACGTTCCAGAGGCACCCCCGGGAATCCACCGTGGCCTGCAGGGTCACCATGTGCCGCCCCTCCCCCCCCCTCCTGTCGCGATAGAGCCCGGGGGGGCCCCCGGGGGGGGCTCGGATGGGGACGCGGAGCCGGGTCAGGACCCCCCGCAGCTGCGGCAGCGGGAACGGCGATCCCGGCGGGAATTCCGAGCCCGCATCCAGCACAGGGGACGATTCCCGGCCGGGATCGGGAGGGATTTGGGCCCTCCCGGGGTCTCCGGGGGATCCCGGCTGGAATTCTGGAGAAGTTCGGGATTTCCCGCGGGAATCTGAGGTTTTCCAGTTTTTTCTGGTGGGACTTTTCCAGAGTTTTCCAAGGGAATTAATGGTCTTCCAGGTTCTCTCGCCAGGATTCCGCATTTTCCAGGCTTTCCTGGGGGTTCCCGGATGGAATTCCGAATTTCGGGATTTCCCGCACCAATCTGAGGTTTTCCGGAGTTTTCCATCAGGGGTTTTCCAGTGTTTTCCTCAGGAATTGGGGTTTTTCCAGGCTCTTCCACCAGCGTTCCACATTTTCTGGTGCTTCCCAAGGGTTCCCAGCTGGAATTTTGTGGGATTGGGGTCTTCCCAGAGTTTCCCACCAGGATTCGACGTTTCCCAGCATTTCCTGGCGTTTCCCGGCTGCAATCCGGTACAATGTGGCGCTTCCGGGAATTTTCTTGGGATTCCCACCTGGAATCCGGGGCAATCCGAGTTTTCCCAGAGTTTCCCGTTTCGGTTTGGGGTTTCCCAGAGTTTTCCAGGGGTTCCCATCCAGGGTTTGGTGGGATCGGGGTTTTCCTGCTGCTCCTCCCAGCACTCCTGGGATTCTGAGAGGATCCTGGGCTGGGATTGGGCGGAGGATTCCAGAACCTCCCACGGCAGGTTGGGATTCCCACCCCAAATCCATTGGGAGATGCAATTCCTGGTCGGAATGTTCCGTAAATCCTCCCTCATCTCCAACCGCTGGGTGGGATTTCACCCCCAAATCCCTGGGGATTCGGACTTTTGGGGCTGAATCCGCCGAGTCCACTGGGAGAGGCAATTCCTGAGTGGAGTCCTCTGGAGATCCTCCCATCTCCGGGTGGGATTTCGCTCCCGAATCCCGTGCTTTGTGCAGGTCTGGCCGCGATTCCCCTTTGTCTGCCCCGTCCTCTGCTGTTCCTGCTCCCATTCCCGTGTCCATGGGGAGCAGATCCGTGGGCCTGGTCATCATTCCCATTCCCAGTCCGTTCCCTGTTCCCGTTCCTGCTCCCATTCCCGTGTCCATGGAGAGCAGATCCGTGGGCCTGGTCATCATTCCCATTCCCGCTCCCGTGTCCTTGGGGAGCAGATCCGTGGGCCTGGTCGCCATTCCCGCTCCCATTCCCGTTCCCATTCCCGTGTCCATGGGGAGCAGATCCACGGGTCTGGCCACCATTTCCATTTCCATTCCCGTTCCTGTTCCCGCTCCCGCTCCCATTCCTGCATCCATGGGGAGCAGATCTGTGGGCCTGGTCGCCGTTCCCGCTCCCATTCCCGCTCCTGTTCCCGCATCCATACAGAGCAGATCCATGGCCCTGGTCTCCATTCCCGTTCCCATTCCCGCTTCTGTTCCCATTCCCATTCCCGTGTCCTTGGGGAGCAGATCCATGGGCCTAGTCTCCATTCCCACTCCCATTCCCATTCCCGCATCCACGGGGAGCAGGTCCATGGGCAGGAGCAGCCTCCCCGTCGCCGCCGTTCCCGCTCCGGCGGCGTCTCCGCCGAGGATGCTGACGACGGCGCCGCAGACGTCGCGCAGGATCTTGCAGACGGAGCTGCGGGACACGCCGAAGGTGGCCTCGAGCGCTCGGTACTCGGTGACGGCGCCCAGGCGGCTCAGGGTGAGCGCCAGGCGCACCTCGGCGGGCACCGCGCGCCTCATGGCCGTGTCGCGCCGGCCGATGGCGCCGCCCAGGCGGGACACGAGGTGGTCGAAGGTGTCGGGGGGCAGCCGGAACCGCTCGCTCCACTCGCGCCCGCCCAGCGCCTTCTCGCGCACCGTGGCCCAGAAGGCCGAGCTGCGGCTGCGGCTCCACACGCGGCCCCGGCTGCGGCGGCGGCGGCGCCGCTGCTGCTGCTGCTGCTGCTGCTGCTGCTGCTGCTGCTGCTGCTGCCGCTGCTGCCGCTGCTTCGACGCCGCCGCGGGCCCGGGGAGGGGAGGCCCCGGTGCGGCGGGAGGGCCGCGCGGCGCGCCCAGCGCCAGGCGCAGCGCCGAGAGGCGGCGGCGGCGGCGCCGCAGGAGGTGCCGGAGGAGGAGGAGGCGGCGGAGGAAGAGGCGGCGGCGGCGGCGGCGGCGCCGCAGGAGGAGGAGGAGGAGGAAGGAGAAGGAGGCGGCGGCCGCGGAGAGCGCCCCGGGCGGCGCCATCTTGGCTGCGGGCAATGCGCATGCGCCGAGGGCGGGGGGCAAAGGGCGCGCGGGGAGGTTACGGACAGGGAAAAGCGCAGGCGCGAAAGCAACGAAAAAAATTACTTCGGGAGGTTTCAGGGGGTTTTTTTTAGGGGTTTTAGGAACTCCTTTGGGGGTCTCTAGGCTCTATAGACGGATTTTAGAGGGGGGGTTAAAGGTGTCAGCAGCGCCATTTTGAGAAAGGGCAAGTAAAAAAAGGGCACAGAGGACGAGCTGCGCATGCGGGGGGTTGGCGGACCCTCCTTTTTGGGGGGGGATTTTGGGTTCTCGGGGTTTTAGCGGCGATTTCGCCCTTTCACCTCATTAACTCAGAGCTGACCAATCAGCGCTCGGGGCGTGCACGAGGGGGCGGGAGTTTTCTCTGGCTCAGCCAATGGCGGCGCAGCGTGGGCGGTTCCTCGCCCTTCCCTGGAGCGGGGGATCCGCCATGGAGCCGCTGCGGCCGCTGCTCGTCCCGTTCCTGCTGCCCGAGCGCTGCTTCGACGAGTTCTTTTTGCGCTTCCACCTCCTCAACGGTGCCGGGAGGGGCCTCGCGGGAGGGACTTTTCGGGCATTTTGGGCGGGTTTGGGTGTTTTTGGGGTTGGTTTTATAATGGGATTGGGTGGGGCGGGCGCGGACGCCATGTTCGTTTTGGGCATTGTAGCCGCGCGACGCCATCTTTGTTATGGGCACGGCAGAGGAAGGAGCCGCCATCTTTGCTGTGGGCAAGAGGTGGCGGCGCCATCTTTGTTATGGGCGGGGGTTAATTTTGGGGGGTTTGGGGAGTTTGGAACCCCCTCTGACCCCCCCAACCCTCTCGTGTTCCCTCTCCGCAGTCCCGTGTCTGAAAATCCTCCTGAGCAAAGGGCTGGGCTACGGCATCGTGGCGGGATCCGTCCTGGGTGAGGGGTTTGGGGGGTCCTGGGCGTGGTTTTGGGGGTCCCAGGGAGGTATTTTGGGGGTGGGGGTCCCTGGTGGGTTTTGGGGTCCCAGGGGTTATTTTGGGGCTGGGGGTCCCTGGTGGGTTTTGGGGGTCCCAGGGGTATTTTGGGGTGGGGGTCCTGGTGGGTTTGGGGGTCCCAGGGGTATTTGGGGTGGGGTCCTGGTGGGTTTGGGGTCCCAGGGGGTATTTTGGGGTGGGGTCCTGGTGGGGTCCCAGGTTATTTTGGGGTGGGGATCCTGGGAATTTTGGGGTCCCTAGGGGTGGTTTTGGGTCCCAGGGGTATTCGGGGTTCTGGGGGTTTATCACGGGGAGTCCTTGGGGTGGCTTTGTGGTCCCTGGGGTGGTTTTAGGGGTTCCGGGGTGGGGAGGTCTGATGATTATTTTGGGGAGAGCTTGGTGGTCCCAGAGAGGTATTTTTTGGGGTGGTTTGGGGGGTATTTTGGGGTGGTTTGGGGGGTATTTCGGGGTGTTTTAGGGGTCCCTGACCCCGCTGTGTCCCCCCCAGTGAAGGTGCCGCAGGTGCTGAAGGTGTGGGGGTGGTTTGGGGGTATTTGGGGGGGTTTTGGGGGTATTTGGGGTCCCTGACCCCTCTGTGTGTTCCTCCCCCCAGTGAAGGTGCCGCAGGTGCTGAAGGTTTGGGGGTATTTTGGGGTGGTTTGGGGGAGTGTTTTGGGGGTCCCTGACCCCTCTGTGTGTTCCTCCCCCCAGTGAAGGTGCCGCAGGTGCTGAAGGTGTGGGGGTATTTTGGGGTGGTTTGGGGGGTATTTTGGGGTGGTTTGGGGGTATTTTGGGTCCCTGACCCGCTGTGTCCCCAGTGAAGGTGCCGCAGGTGCTGAAGGTTTGGGGGTCCCGCAGCGGGGGGGGGCTCAGTCTCCCCGCGGTGCTGCTCGAGCTGCTGGCCCTGGGGGGCTCTGCGAGCTACGGCTGCGCCCGAGGCTTCCCCTTCAGGTCTGGGGGATCTGAGGGGGTGGGGGCACTTGAGGGATCTGGGGAGCAGGGAGGGGATTTTGGGGGTTCTGGGAGAATGTTTGGGGGATCTGAGGTGGTTTGAGGGGATTTGGGGGCTCTGGGGGCAGTTTGAGGGGTCCATGGGAGGGATTTTGGGGGGTCCTGGGAGGGGATCTGGGGGAGTTTTTTGGGGGGGTTGGGGTCCCGGGTGAATTCTTTTGGGGGTCCTGGGTGGGTTTTGGGGTCGGGGGGCTTGAGTGGCTTTTTGGTGTGGTGGTTTTGGGGGCCTCGGGTGGGTTTTTTTGGGGGGCTTTAGTAGCTTTTCGGTGCTCTGAGGGTGGTTTTGGGGGGTCCTGGGGGGTTTTCGGGGGTGCTGAGCCCATTTCTGGGGGTCCCTGACCCCCCCCCGTGCCCCCCTCAGCGCGTGGGGGGAGTCCCTGTTCCTGCTGCTGCAGACCCTCACCCTGCTCTTCCTCATCGAGCACTTCGGGGGCCGCACGGCCCGAGGTGGGTTTTTTGGGGAGCTTTTTTGGGGGGGGTTTGGGGAGGCTTGGGACCCCCCTGACCCCCCTCTCTGTGCCTTGTCCCCCTCTCTCCCCCAGGGCTGCTGCTGGTGGTGGGATTTGGGGCGTTCCTGGGGGTCCTCGTGTCCCCCCTGACCCCCCTGGGCGTCGTCACCCTCCTGCAGGGGCTCAACCTGCCCATCATCGTCCTCAGCAGGGTAGGGGGCCTCGGGGGCGGCTGGAGGGGGTTTGGGGGGCCTGGAGGGGGTTGGGGGATTTAGGGTGTCCTGTGGATTTTTAGGGGTCCTGGGGGAGAGGTTTTGGGGGAACAGTTTAGAGGGGTCCCGGTGGGTTTTTCAGGCATCCTGGGGAGGTTTTGGAGGGTTTTTTGGGGGGGGTCTCATGGAATGGGGAAGGTCCCATGTTTTGGGGTGGGGGGGTGTCCTGGGGGTGTTTTGGGGTCCCCAAAATCCTCCTTTACCCCCTCCCCCCCAGCTCCTGCAGGCCGTGACCAACCACAGGCAGGGCCACACGGGGCAGCTCTCGGGGGTCACCACGGGGCTCCTCTTTGGGGGGGCCCTGGCCCGGATCTTCACCTCCCTCACGGTGAGACCCCCCAAAAACCACCCCCGAACCCCCAAAGAATCCACAACCCCCAAACCCCTCTAAATATTCTCCAAAACCTGCCTAATCTGCCCCCCACAAAAACCTCTCCCCTTCAATCCAAACCCCCTGCAACAAAAGCCCCCCAAAAAACCCTGAACCCTCAACCCCTCCCCAAAAATACTTGAGCTCCCAAACTCCCCCAAAACGCCCCTGAATCCTCCCCCAAAATCCCCTCAACTCCCCCAAAAACACCCTCATGAATCCCCAAAAACACCCAATAACCCTCAAATTCCCCCAAAAACCCTGAACCCCTGAAACCCCTCCCAAGCTCCCAAAACCCCCTCAGAACCCCCCAAAAACAACCACCTGGGACCCCCTCACCCCTCCCCTAAACCCCAAACCCCCAGGAACTCCTGAAGGTCCCTCAGGACCCCCTGATCTGCCCCCTGCCAAATTCCCACAGGAAACGGGGATCTGCTCCTGGCCACGACTTTTGGGGTCTCAGCCGCCTGCAACGGGGTCCTGCTGGCCCAGGTGCTCCTTCTGGGGGGGCCCCGGGACCCCCACCCCAAAAAGGAGTGAAGGACCCCCCACTCTGGGACCTCCCAACCCCCTCAAAGACACACAAAACTCCTCTAAAAAATGCAATAAAAGGGGGGGTTTGGGGGTGACCCCTCAGATTTGGGACCCCCAAAATCTCCCCCCGAATCGTGGGAAACCCCCCAAAATTGTGGAGACCCCCAGAATCTCTCACAAGGAAACACCCAAATCCTCCCCAAACCACCCCAAAACTGCAGTAAATGAGGGGTTAAAGGGGGTTTTGGGGTGACCCCCCCAAGCTCTGGGACCCCCCCAAACTTCCCCGGGACCACCTGGCGGGACCCCAAAACCCCCAAATTCCCCCAAAACCTCAACACAGGGGGGTTAAAGGTGGGTTTGGGGGGAGGGGGGGGACCCCAAAACTCCTCTTGGACCCCCCCCCAGATCTCAGGGACCCCCCAAACCACCGGCCCTGATCCCCCAAATTCCATGGACCAAGGTGGGGGAAGGGCTGGAAACACCCCCCCAATAAATTTGGGGACCCCCCCCCAATAAAGGGGTTTGGCCCCCACCGTGTTTGTGTCGTCAATTAATTAATGGCGTTAATTATGGGAAATGGGGGGGAGGGAAGGGCAGGAAATGTGAGGGGAAAAATGGCGGGAAACATGAGGGGAAATGGTGGGAAATGTGAGGGGAAAATGGCGGGAAACATGAGGGGAAATGGCGGGAAACGTGAGGGGAAAGGGCGGGAAGTGTGAGGGGAAATGGCGGGAAATGTGAGGGGAAATGGCGGGAAGTGTGAGAGGAAATGGTGGGAAGTGTGAGGGAAAATGGCGGGAAATGTGAGGGAAAATGGCGGGAAACGTGAGGGAAAAGGGCAGGAAATGTGAGGGAAAATGGCGGAAACGTGAGGGGAAATGGCGGGAAACGTGAGGGAAAATGGCGGGAAACGTGAGGGAAATGGCGGGAAACGTGAGGGGAAAAGGGCGGGAAACGTGAGGGGAAAAGGGCGGGAAACGTGAGGGGAAAAATGGCGGGAAACATCAGGGTCCCCCAAACCCCCATTTTAGACCCACATCAACTCCCTGGGACCCCCAAAACCCTCCTTTACCCCCAACAGCCCCTCCAGGACTCCCCCTCTCAACCTCCCGAAATCCTCCCAGGACCCCCAAAAGCCCCTCCGGCCCTCCCCCCCAATCCCAAACCTCCGGCGTCTCCATCTCTTTATTCCCACAATTCCATAATTTCTATGCAAAATACTCTCATCTCCCCCTCCCCAACGCCGGGGAGGGCGAGCCCAGGGGTCCCAAACTTTGGAGGACCCCCCTCCCCACCCCAAACCCCCTTTCGGGGCCGGGAGGAGCTGATTTGGGAAGGGGGCCCCACCCCCGGGCGTACAAATATAGAGATTATTATGTACAAAAGAGTCCAAATTTGGGGCGGGGAGCCTCAAAGCCCCCAAACACCGCGCTGGGGGCGGTGGGCGAACCCCAAACCCCTCGTGAGGGGAGGGTGGGGACCCCCAAATCCCCCAAAATCACCCCCAATGGCTCGGGAGGGTCCCCCAAGTTCAGCACATGCAGCCGCTTTGGGGGTCCCGCACGGTTCGGGGCGGGGGTGGCCCGGAGGGGGCGGGGGATTTCTGGGGGCCCCTGACCCCCTAGAGGCGCTCGCGGGCCGGGACCCAAATGAAGGGGCCCGACAGGTCCTCGATGACGCGTTTGACCTTGTGATAAATCTCCTCGAAGCTGTCGCCTTCCACCATCGCTGTGGGGAAAACGGCGGTCAGGGGGTTATTTTGGGCTTGGACGCCCGGTGGGATATTTGGGGGTTCTGGGGGGTGGGTTTGGGGTCCTGGGGGTATTCTGGAGGCATCCCAGGAGTGGTTTTGGGAGGGTCTTGGATGGTATTTTTGGGGCTGAGGGTCCTGGGGGTGTTTGGGGGTTCTGAGGGGGTACCAGAGGTATGTGGGGGGTATTTTTGGGGTCCTGGGGATATTTGGGGGTGTTTCACAGCTGGGGGTCTCAGGCTGGTTCTGGGGGGTTCCCAGGGGTATTTGGGGGGTATTTTGGCAGTCCCAGGGGTATCTGGGTGTATTTCGGCAGTCCCAGGGGTATCTGGGTGGGTATTTTTAGGGGGTGCCAGGGGTGTTTTGGGGCTGGGGGCCCCAGGCTGGTGGCGGGGGGGCTCTGGGGGGTATTTTTGGGGTTTGGGGTCACACCTGAGAAGCACTCGGTGAACTCCTGCTCCAGTTTGGTGGCTCTGTCGAAGGCCTTTCGCGCCTGCTCCTCCGACACCCGCTTGGAGATCTCCCTGTGGGGCGGGGCCACCGTCGGGACACGCCCATAAACCCATAAACCACGCCCCTAAACTCAACCAAACCCCACCCCCACAGACCACACCCCTTCCCAAACCACGCCCCCTCAGACCACGCCCCAACCTCCCCATTTCTTCTCCCCCAAATCCCCCTTTTTTTTTGCCCCGATTCCCCCATTTTTCTCCCCAAATTCCCCCCCCAGCCCTCACAGGACGTTCTGCAGGGACTTGGGGCGGATGAAGATGGCGATGGGGTGCAGCTGGGCCGCCTGGAGCCGACGCACCGCGTTGGCCGACACGTCCAGGATGCAGTGCTTGCCCTGCCGGGGGAGGGGCACAGGTGGGCACAGGTGGGCACAGGCGCGCTCCGGGCGTGCCCAGCCGTGCCCCAGGTGCGGCCTCACCTGCTCGGCCACCTCCCGCACGGACTGGACGCTGGTGCCGTACAGGTGGCTGTTGTACTGCCCGGCCTCGATGAACTTGTGGCCCTGGATGTCCTTCTCCATCCGCTCCCGCGACGCCACGAAGTGATAGTCCCGCCCGTCCACCTCGTACTCGCGCTTGGGCCGCGTCGTGTCTGCGCGGGGCACAGGTGGCACAGGTGGGACAGGTGGGACAGGTGGGACAGGCACATGGGAGCAGGTGACAGGTGACACAGTGCACAGGTGACATGGGGACAGGTGACCCAGGTGAGACAGGTGACAGATGTGCCCAGGTGTCCCCAGCTATCCCAGGTGTCCCCAGCTATCCCAGGTGTATCCCAGCTATCCCAGGTGTATCCCAGGTGTCCCAGGTATCCCCAGGTGTCCCCAGGTGTATCCCAGGTGTATCCCAGCTATCCCAGGTATATCCCATGTGTATCCCAGCTATCCCAGTTGTTCCCAGCTATCCCAGGTGTATCCCAGGTATATCCCAGGTGTCCCCAGCTATCCCAGGTGTCCCCAGCTATCCCAGGTGTATCCCAGGTATATCCCAGGTGTCCCCAGCTATCCCAGGTGTCCCAGGTGTATCCCAGGTATCCCAGGTGTCCCAGGTGTATCCCAGGTGTCCCCAGCTATCCCAGGTGTATCCCAGCTATCCCAGGTGTCCCAGGTGTCCCCACGTGTCCCCAGGCTATCCCAGGTGTATCCCAGGTGTATCCCAGGTGTATCCCAGGTGCTGATCCCAAGTGTCCCAGATGTCCCAGGTGTATCCCAGGTATATCCCAGGTGTCCCCAGCTATCCCAGGTGTATCCCAGGTGTATCCCAGGTGTCCCAGGTGTATCCCAAGTGTCCCAGGTGTCCCAGGTGTATCCCAGGTATATCCCAGGTGTCCCCAGCTATCCCAGGTGTTCCCAGGTGTATCCCAGGTGTCCCCAGGTGTATCCCAGGTGTCCCAGGTGCCCCCAGGTGACTCACGGGGGACGCAGGAGCCGAATTTCTCGGGGAACTCGGACAGGAGGTCGTCGTTCACCCGGTCCTTGGTGGGGCCCAGGATGATGATCGGCCGCGCGTAGTGAACTGGGGGAGGAGGAGGGGGGGGCCAAAAATAGGGGTCAGGGGGACCCCAAAAATTTTGGGACCACCCCCCAGGTCACCCCTGGGGTAGGGGGACCCCAAAATGTGCCCCGAGGTGGGGGGGGGGGACCCTTCAGATTCGTCACCTTCCATCTGCGTCACCGTCTCGTAGCTCAGCACGGCGTCCTCGCGGCCTGGGGGGGACACCCCAAAATTAAGTGGACCCCAAATTAATGAGGGACCCCAAAACTGGGGCATGAGGGGGGGGAACAATTATAGGGGAGTGGGGGGGTCACAGGAGGAGTTGGGGGGTTTGTGGTGAATTTTTATGGTGGTTGTGGGGGGTTTGGGGGTTTTTGGGTGGTCCCCACCTTGTCCCCCAGGCCCCCGATCTTTGGCCTTGAGCCGCGTCCACTCCCGGCGCTCGACCCTGTGGGGGACCAGTGCTCCCAGTTAGTTACCTCCCAGTAACCACCAGTAACTCTTCAGTTTCTCCCAGTGACCACAAGCGCTCCCAAATGCCCTCCCAGTCCCTTCCAGTGCCCCCAGATCCCCTCCCAGTCCCTCACCGGCGCTTGGGCCTGGTTCTGGGGCAGGCCCAGCCTTGCCTGCCAGTGCTCCCAGTGCCCTCCCAGTCCCTCCCAGTCCCTCCCAGTGCCCCACCTGCGCTTGCTGGGCACGAAGCCGATGTCTGGGGGCTGGTTCTGGGGCAGGACCAGCCTGGCCTGCCACCACTCCTCATCCGAGGCGTCCAGGACGTGCAGGACGTCCCCGAAGCGGAAGCTCAGGGCCTGGCTCAGGAACCCCACGTCCTTGGCCTTGTCGTAGTCAAACAGGGCCCTGGGGGACACAGGGGGGTCACTGTCACCTCTGCCACCTCTGCCACCTCTGCCACCCCCCCAGTGTCCACGTGTCACCCACAGACCTCCCCAACCCCCCCCCAGGGTCCCAAATGTCCCCACAATCCCACCAATCCCCCCCACCAAAATGTCCCCAAATCCCCCCAGTGTCCCCAGGGAGTCCCCGATGTCTCCAGATTGTCCCCAGTGTCCCCCCAGTGCCCCCCCAGTGCCCCCAATGTCCCCCAAAGTCCCCAGTGTCCCCCCAGTGCCCCCCACCTGACGTAGAAGCCTCTTTTAGGGTCACTCCTCAGGGAGGCGCTGCCCGACCCCAAACTGCTGCTCAGGAGCTGCTCCCGCAGGTCGTGGATTTTGGCCTCGAACCGACTGTACTCTGGGGGGGGGAGGGGACAGGTGACACCCGGGGGGACACCCGGGCACCCTCCGGGGACCAGAGCGGCCGGGGGGGGGACACAGGGCCCAGCTCACCCTCGGGTTTGTACTGGGCGATGATGGTGACCGACTGGCCGGCGTTCTTGAGGGCCACGGCCGCCTGCTCGTGGGTGGCACTGCGCAGGTCCACGCCGTTCACCTGGGGACAGCGGGGACATTGGGGACAATGGGGACACCTGGGGACACTGGGGGACACGGGGGGACACGGGGGGACCCAAGGGAACACAGGGGGACAGGGACACTCGAGGGTGGCACTGCGCAGGTCCACGCCGTTCACCTGGGGACAGCGGGGACATTGGGGACACATGGGGACACTGGGGGACATGGGGGGACCCAGGGGGACAGGGACACTCGTGGGTGGCACTGCGCAGGTCCACGCCGTTCACCTGGGGACAGTGGGGACATTGGGGACGCCTGGGGGACATTGGGGACACTGGGGGACACTGGGGGACATGGGGGGACCCAAGGGAACACAGGGGGACAG